CACTTGGTTGTATCAATGCACATGAGCCAAAGGCTTGCCAACTGCTATATCATATATTTTTTCTACCATAAAACAGTTGTGGGGACTGCTTTTACACCAAGAACGGATCAGGCATTATTCCTGTAAGGTCACAAATTGCATGATAGAGCGAGTATCGAAGTGCTTCTTCCTAGAGGTGCCTATTCAGCTCTCAGATGTCATAACAACCATTGTTGTGCTAAAGCACTCTACCTGAATAACAAAAGTGGTCTTGTTTATGTGCCTTTCAGGCCGGTGTACGTGTTTCCGCCGTCGCAGCATTCGTTTGTTGTCGTGCCATTATTGGTTGATGGACAATTTGTCATTTAAGAGTGCCATTTGATGAGGAGATGGAAAGGTTTCCGTCACTAGGACTTGATTTTACCATGAAAATTTGTTAGTCACTGTTGATTGGACTTAGTTTGACAGGTCCATGGTATCGCAAAGATGGCAATGAAAACTTGGAGAAGTAAATTGTTGAAGATTTTAATATGAAACCGGGGAATTGAATAAGAGCATCTTCATATCCCGTTGACTCTCCTCTTGCACTGTCTTTATTTGTTTAAATGCAAGCATTAATAAATGAGTGAAAGTGACATCACCTAATGAGTGTTTTTTTCCTATTACGCTTTTTTGGTGCAGACAAATCTACAATAGGAGTTTTTGGGACTCAGCGATATTCTCAAAGATCCTGCGTAACTTCGGAGGTCGTATTCGTCTTGTTTTGGTAACGGGTGCTCCCATTGCTCCCTCCATTCTACGTTTCACACGGGCAGTATTCTCGTGTCCAGTACGTGTCGTATAGTGGTTTCTTAGAGTTGTGCATTGTATTAATTCCTTGTTTGTGTAGTTGGTAGATTTTTATAAATTATTATTCACTATATCAGCTGAATGAATTTGTCAATGGGAAGCATTTGATGTCTAGATAAAGTTCGAAAAATCCGCACCGTTCTCTACCGTTCACCATCAGCATTAATCATAATTACCAAGTTCGGCTTTCCGATTTCCTAATAAATCAGGTCCTTGAGGGATATGGTTGCACAGAGACATGTGGCCCTGTGTCGGCATCGGTTGCTGGTGACCTGAATGGCAGCCATGTTGGAGCGCCCTGGCCACATGCAGAAATTAAATTGACCGACGTCCCAGACATGGGCCTCGTAGCTGCAAGAGACAACAGAGGAGAGGTACGTCTCTTCTACTTAAATGTGACTAGTAGAATCATCTTTTGACGTAACTAAGCTGATGACACGATTTTTAGATTTGTGTCCGGAGTACTTCGTGCATAAGTGGCTATTACAAGAACCCTGAGATGACTGCCAAGTTAAAAGACAAGGATGGGTGGCTACATACTGGTGATGTGGGCACTTGGC